TAAAATTCGATACAACTTTATTTTAATCAAAGAAAACCTAACCATTTATAATTTTCATATGCAACGACAAATATGACTTTTAAAATATAAAGCAACCCAAAAAATAAAACAATTAAAAAATACCACTAAACAAATATATGTGAGCAGCTAATGATCCCTTCCCTAAATATCCCCTTCCCAAAATAATAATCTTTAGCCTAAAGTCATCACTTCCCAAGTGCTCTTCTAGACAAACCGATAAACATTTTTTTGACATCCATTTAAAGTCAAGTCAATTAAAAACTTTTTAAAGATTTTAAAAATTTTGAAGTAAAATTTTACCATCACAGTCATAGAATCCAAAAATTCAACAAAACCTCACCTACCACATCACAAAACAAAATAAACTCCCAACATCAAAGGATTAACATCATTCTAAGAAAGACGATACCAAACCCCATTGGTGGAGCTATAAACTTGCACCAAAGGGCGACACAAACCCTCACTATCAGAGGGACAAAACCGCACCATTGGGTAGCACAAATTCTCACAAACGGAAGGATGAAATAGCAGCGTAGAAAAGGTGGACAAAAAACAATAACAAACCCCATGCTAGATGGACAAAGTCATCCATGTGACTAGGGTTTATTTTAGGAACAGGTGATATACAATATTAAACTATAAAAATATGTAAATAATTCAATAAGAAAGAACGTTGAAAGAAACTTTCCTCTCCAACAGAAGACATGTTGTAGCCAATATTAATTTTGTTAAGATTATTAAAATTATGAAATTTTTATTTTTAATTTAATTGTTAAAAATACTTAATAATTAATAAATAGTTAATATTTATTATTTAATAAATTAAAATTAATTTATAAATAGATATTTTTAAATATTATAACCAAATGTTTCAAAAAATTATAAATTAAAAAATATGAAAAAAATTAATGACCTTAATAAAATTAATAGTGATTATGTCACAAGAGACACTCCATAATTAATAATTGAGTTGAGATTGTGTACTTATCATGGCTTTTGGATCGGTCTGGGCCTAAATTCATGATCATTTATTGCATTATGATTGAAAAGTCCAAAGTTTAATATAAAAAATAATAGTCAAATTTTTACGCATTAATAAAAAGTCAGCTCTTTTAAGGAATTGTGATTTAGTGGTTAAAGAAGATTATTCTTTATATTATTGACCAACATTTAATTTTTTATGAAAGTCAATAAAAAAAGTTTTTTTATTAATTTTATTAGAAATAATAAAATAAAATTAAAAAATCAGTCCATCTACATGTAATAACAAACTACTCAAACAATTCTCAAATATTCATTTACATTCAAATTATCATAGAGAGATTTCAACCTATGTCTTTTCTGTAAGGTTTCCATCACTAGTCAATATTTTTGAATTTTCTTAGGAATTAGGTTTTGAATTTTCTTATATGTTAAGGGATGAGTTAGAGATAACTATTACTACCTTCTCCAAGAACAATCATTCTTCCTTAACTTCATTCAGTCTTATCTCTAGAAGAATTTGTTGAACTTCAATCCTCTCAATCCCTAACTTGTTAACTCTTAACTTGTCAGCTTTACTTAAATATTTTAAAAATAGTTATATTTTTCAACAATGACGAATGCCTAATGAAACTTACTCACCAAAAATTCACGCTACATATAAAAGGTTGACAAAATAATGTTCTGTTTGTCTTCATGCCATGTAGAAATACAGATTAACTTTGTATTACAAATTTGGGCAGAAAAGAACAAGAGTGGTTATAGCAATGGTTATGGTCATTTACTGTTAATTTGAGGATTAAGAATAATTAATAATAAAATAATTAATATTTATTATTTAACATATTAAAAACAGTATATATATTTATATTTTTAAATATTATAATTGATAGTTTATAAAAATAAAAATTTATATGGTCTCAATAATTTGAGTTGCCATTGCTATTTAATTAATCCTATTAACTTTCGCCTTTTCTGGTTTTATTTATCCTTCCGTAAGTGTTTGAAACAAACAAACGCACACCCTAATATCTTACATACAATCGACTTATTCAACTTAACTAGAGATTAAGTTGACGTAATTAAGGCTACAAGCACTCAAAAGATGATACACTTTTGCAGTCATTATGCGTGGGCAGGATTCTCTGATATCTGCATCGACTGCTGAGGAGGAACAGCCATCAAACCTCTAATCATAGGCTTAACCTTTTCAATTGCTTTAATAATCCCCAAAAACATGAGCCGGTACAGAACCACCATTCCCAACAAGATTGCAAGATCAATCCATTTAGAATACCCCATCTCTACTTGCCAAACGCTTCTCAAGATCTCATCCCCGGTGATGGTCGCGGCCTGTCCGGCTTGGTTGTTGGGAAAAGTTAGGCCTTCAAATTCATTCTTGTAGAACCCTTCATTTGCATACTTGTGAAAGGCTATGTAGTACATGGGGTATTTCCAGAATGGCTTAGGAAGGTCGTCTGGTAACCGGAAGAAGCCTCCGTTCAGCATCATCACACCTTGAATCCCAGCTCCAGTTATTATTCCCATGAGAAAATCAGGCACGATGCTTGCGACAATCATCATGAGGCTCTCCACTAGCATCATGCACACGAAGAGGACTAAGGCGAAGTACACGAAGTGGTCGACACTCTTTTGAAGGCCAACTAAGTAATAGGCCATGGCGCCAGGGATCAAAGAGATGAGAAGTAAATATGGTATGGAGGAAAGACTGTTTCCAATAACAAATGCTCCAACTCCATAATGGCCGTTCAATCTTTCTCGTTCGAAGATCTGATTAATTTTGAAACCAGAATTATCAAAAATGGTCGTATTAAAACATTTGAGGTCAATTGTAAGGCAAAGAAATTCAATTTTATTACCTTCATGTCTTCAACAAAAGAAGGGAATCCACCTATGGCCATGAAGGTCAAGAATGCTGCAACAAACATGAGCATTGATCCTCTAGCCTGAAAATTCAGAAGTAGGACAAGGTTTATATGGTCTAATTTAGTAAAACTTGAAGGGGATAGGTGTATGTTATTGCATGGTTAATTAGTTAAATTACCTGGATCGATCCATAAGTAAAACCGATGTCATAGAAGATGGTTCCTACGCAGAGACATAAAGCAATATAGATTGCCAGGCGAAGCCAGTAATAGCCTAGATCGCGATACATGTTGACGAAGGATCTCTTGGTTAGAACAATACTCTGAGTTATGAAGCTTGCTTGACTTCCTTTCTTCTCTAGATCTCCTCCTAGCTTCTACAAAATAAATAATTAAGGAATACTAATGAGTTTTGCGTTGGAATTTCAATGTCATAACTCAAATTTGAACCTCAAAAAAGAAAGTGAAGATCAGAACAATTAAATTGAATCCAGTTTACCTCTCGGCATATCTTAGAGGCGTTCTCCTGAACTTCCTTGTATATCTCGGATGCTCTATATGAATTCACTAGAATGTTGATGACTTCCTCTGTTCCGGAGACACCGAACCCATGTTCTAAATCCTAACCAATATCAATAATTAACCGATATTTTTTATCGTTAGAGTTGGTGTTATTAATTCAAATAGAAACGAAGAAATGCCTCAGAGCGTCTTGGTAACAACTATGACTCCAAATTCAAACTGAAGGTCTCAGTATGAACCTTAAAACAGATGAGAAAACAGTTGAGTAAAAAATATATATACAGGGGGAGAAATTAAAGAAAACTTACTTCATCATCAAAGTCTTTGTTGATGGTTCTAAGATAATGATCTGAAGGGTTCCTTAGTGATGGGCATGGGAATCCATTGGAAGCAAAAAACTAAAACAAGAAAATCAAGAATCAAATATTTTAAATTTCCTTGGATTAAAAACTGAGTCGTGAAAATTGAGGAATATAACAATTTACCTGTTCTGCCAATGAAACAGGGCCAAAGTAGACCGTCCTTCCAGAGGACAGAAGGCAGAGGTTCTGGAAGAGCTCAAAAACTTCACTACTGGGCTGATGGATGGAAGCGACGACGGTCCTTCCATCCTGGCGAGCGAGCCCCACGATTCGACTCATAACATGGTACGATGCCGCACTGTCTAATCCACTGGTGGGCTCGTCCAGGAAGAGAAGCTTCGGACGAGTCAAGATTTCGATGCAAATGCTGACCCGCCTCTTCTGTCCTCCACTTAGGCCTTTGACGCTCCACCCTCCGATTCTGGTCTCCATGGCGTCCTGCAGCCCCATTTCTCTGATAGTCATCTCGGCTCTCTCCTTCTTCTCCGCCCGAGACATGGAGTCCGGTAATTGGAGCTGCGCCGAGTAGTACACGGCTTCACGTACCGTCAGGGTTGTCATCAAGGTGTCATCTTGAGTCACGTAAGCCTGAATCATGGAAAATATGGTTAAGAAATTAAATTAATGCTGTTTATTCTAGTATTTTAAAAACAGCCATAAATCATGTTTGCTCTCACTAAAAGGATTAAATATTTTTAATTATAAATAACAAATTATTACAATAACTTACTAAAAAAATAAGTAATCCAAAAATCTAACCACTTTTCCTGTATACAGTGAAAATTTTGGATAGACTCTTTGTTTAGTTTTTCTTACCGATGTTCCAAAAGCGAGCCTTTCGTTCCGACCGTTGATCAAGATTTGTCCAGTCTGATGCGTGTTTGAACTTAGTCTTCCTGCAATGGAGACAAAAAAGATGCTGAGTCTTAGATCTCTCATGGAATTCCAAATGACAACTTTTAGTTGGACTTTTTTGTTTTGCAGAAATTATTACAGTTAGGCCTTTGAATATAATGACCTCCGACGGCAGCAGTCTATCAAGAAACCGTGTCCATGGTTGTGAAAATGGAAGTGTGGACAAAAGTTTCCCTATTCCATTGGAAAAAAGAATTCTAGTGTCTGACTCTAATCCTTAATTTTAGAGTTGCGTGTCAAAAAAAGTTATTTGACAACTAATAACAGAATGGAGAAAATATTAAATTAAGACAAATTAAATTAAATTAAATTATTAAAAAAAGAAAAGTCAGCGTATTTCGACCTACATCACATGCAATGCAAAATGCTTATAATATAAGCTATATCAGACAGAAGAGCATTTGGCTTAGAGTGCAAAACACTAAAGCCTTAAATTATATTGCTGTCTTTGGTAATGAAGAAAAAAAAAACACTAAATCGTTAAATGAAGTTATCTTCCAAAAGAGGAGAACTAAATTATTTTGCGTAGATAAAAGAAAGTACCTGCCAATGCATCGAGAAGGGTTGACTTGCCACTCCCGGAGGGACCCATTATGGCCAGGATCTCACCCGGCTCGGCATACCCGGTGAGACCCTGTAAAATCGGCCGGCGGCCATTCTTCTGACTTGAAACCGTCACCCAGAGGTCCTTCCACGTCAAGAAAATTCTTTTGGCTCTTCCCCCACCGTCTTCTACCGTTGGGACATATCTTTCTCGTCTCTTCAGAGGTTTAACTACTGGCTCCGCAGGTTCCGTCTCATAAATCTTCAGAGATGGTGATTTTTCATGGATCTCTGAATTGGAACGTTGAGAATAATTCCTCTGAGAAAATCCAAGGCTGAATGGGAAAATCGTTTCCCTTCCAGATGACCTCTCATCCTCAGAAACCATGCTTTGCACCTCGGCCGAGTTGTCGGTTTTTGCCCTTGGCATCACCAACTCCTTTTGCGGCTGTGATCTTGTTGGGCTTGGTGTCCATCTAGGGACATCGGAGGTTGAGGAATCCATGTAAAGAATTCTAAGAAGATTTTTTTTCTCTTTCGAATGAAGGAGAGATCGAGAGAGGAGGCCTCAATATTTTAGCTTTATTCCTTGATCTATGACTCTGAGGAATAAAGTTGTTGAGTTGAGGACACACCTAGCTACTAGTATTTATAGGCTTGAGATCATTAAATATTGATAGACAACGTAAGATGCGGTGTTTATTTTTTTT